ATAAATATGTAAATGCAAATTAATTCAAAAAATAATGTTTATTTCAAATTTACATTGATTGTTTCATGAATTTAGAATATTTATTCAATATTTAAAATATCTCTTATAGTTTCCGAGAAATATCTAAAAATGTAAAGACACTACATTTTTTCGAGCATTCAATATTCGTTGATTAAACTTTTGACAAGCTTATAACTCTGAACGCAAGAAAGTTATCAAAATGATTATAATCACTTTGTATTCCGTGTAGTATTAGCTTTAATTTCCATATACAATAGTTAATATATCTATTATAGTTTTCGAGAAATATCTAAAAATGTAAAGACACTATATTTTTTCGAGCATTCAATATTCGTTGATTAAACTTTTGACAAACTTATAACTCTGAACGCAAGAAAGTTATCAAAATGATTATAATCACTTTGTATTCCATGTAATATTAGCTTTTATTTGCATATTCAATAGTTAATATATCTATTATAGTTTTCGAGAAATATCAAAAAATGTAAAGACACTAAATTTTTTCGTTCATTCAATATTCGTTGATTAAACTTTTGACAAGCTTATAAGTCTGAACGCAAGAAAGTTATCAAAATGATTATAATCACTTCGTATTCCATGTAGTATTAGCTTTTATTTTCATTGCTCTTACATCAAAAAGTCCCAATTTTAAAGTAATTATATCAAAGATGAAGCAACATCATGTTTCCAAAACCTGAAGGGGGAAAGTTTTCAATTAATTTTTGTTTGTTCCAATTTAAGAATTCTATTTTGTTCGTCTATTACTATTTGTTACTATTTTCATGTAACTTTTTTTTTTTATAAATATGTAAATGCAAATTAATTCAAAAAAATAATGTTTATTTAAAATTTACATTGATTGTTTCATGAATATCGACTTACTCAATAATATTTTGGGGTAATGGTTAAAAAATGTTTTGCTTGTTGCTAATTGCTAATCTGTGTAGTGGAGCAGCGTGCACGATATCCAAACCAGAGATCCCAAGGATTACGCCGATGCTTACTGCTATGTTGAGGATGCTGCCGTCCCTGCATTCACGGAGCGACAGGACGAGGAGGACATGAGACCGACGGACATATGGATGGGATTCATGACGAATTCGAATTACTTATCGGACAGGAATCCGTTCAGCAGGACGAACGACGAACGCTCGTACATGGGCGTGATGAACAGCGGTCTCATCGGGACTAATTCGTACACGCGTTTCCACTACCGGAGACCCGGCGACAAGAACAAAATCATAAAGAACGTGCCCAGACTGACGCACTACGTCGACGAGCTCAGCGTCGGCAAGGGTTTCATCAAGGAGCCCTGCTTCTCGGCGGACGGAAGGATCATCTGCTCGCCGTACGGCAACGGCGTTCGTCTCTTCAGCTTCAACGACGAGGTGCAAGAGTTGAGTCTCTGCGTGCCGGAGAAACCCAAGAAGTTGTACCCGCTCAACACCTTGACCGATCAGCATTCGGACGTCGTCGTCTGCAGCAAGTTCAACCCCACCAACAATTATCAACTCGTCACCGGTTGTCTGAGTGGAGAGATCGTATGGTACAAACCCAAATTTTAAGTACACTTAAAAACAACAACTTAAAAAAAAAAAATTAATCATGCGATCTCCGTCAGCATTTACCATTACGTTTATTCCTCATAAGACTGCAAAAAAAAAAAGAAACGCGATTTACCATTGCCAATTCGATATTTTTCAAAAGTTCTAAAGCAACGATAGGGGGGGAGTGCGAAATTTGTTTCGTGTTTGATCGATTTCGGGAAGTTTTTGCGGCTATGAAAACGTTGCGTCGCGACGCCACTTCCGTAACTTTAACGTGGATCAACGAGGGCCGCGATTTGTTTGCGCTGCTGCAAATTTTCGACGACTTCGGCTCCTGGAAAACGATCTACCGGTAATTCAGACGAATTTTATTGTATTTTTTTTTCTTATCTTAATTATAATATATATATATATTTTTTTTAAATCGATTCGCCTTCATCCGCCTATCGTTCGCTAGTTTCATTATCGTAAGTTTTATTGTTCGCAATCATCGAACTTGTCAAGTAAAACCCGTGTACATTCACCCCCTTTTTTTCCCTACTCGGCAAGTTACGTGACTACATTGTACACACGATGATTCAATAATTTTTTTCTCCTTGCGATTATGAATTTAGATAGTTCAGGTTTTTTTTTCTTCCTCTTTTTTAAACAATTCGTTTACTTAATGAAATTTACCATTTTGCAACCTCCACAATGGTGATATCATGTTTTATATATATATATATTTTATTTATTTATTATCGTTGCTATGGATATAATATTTTTTTAGTATCGTAACTAAGCAATAATCAAAAGTCTTCGAAAACAAAAGAATCCTTAGCAACCATTAATTATTATTATTACTAGCAGACAGTTACAATCATCCGTATATTTGTTTAATTGTTGGTTATGTAAATAAAATTTTATTGTGTTTGTCTGTAGATTCTTTCGTTTTACGTAGCAAATCAACAAAAACGCACCCAAATCCCCTTGTTAATGCCGTTACTAAGCAACTAATCAAAAGTTCCGTTTGAATGAAACGACAGTGGATTGTTATAAATGTGCCTGAACGATGACGAATTACACTTTTTTCTTTTTTGTATATTGTATATTTTATAATGTAAATAAATTTAGTTTCTTAGTGAATTTACACATTAAACAAAGAATAGATTAAATATACAAATTGTTAGAACGCAGGAGAGATTTTCGTTTAGATTTGTTGATTTATTTGTTAATGTGTACATTATCTAATAACGTCAACGTTGATATGTGTACATTTACCAAAATTTACTGTGACTTTTTACGGTTTTGTTTATATCGTAACTAAGCAACTTCTCTTAGTTACACAAACCGCCCAATTTATATGTAAATAACACAAGTTGATCTTTATTATTATTATATAAATAACAATTAATTATTTTTATTTTAATGATTGTTAATTTGTTAGATCGTGCGCAATATGAATTTAATATAATTAAACTTTTTAAGTAAATTAATTTCATAACACTTTCCTTCCTTTATTTACTTAATTACTTAGCAACGAAAATAATTTACAATTGTTTTTAATTTTTGAATTAATTAATTCCTTCATAATTACTTTTTCATGAATATTAAATTAAGTTTAAATACGAATCTAATGTACATTTGGTTGCCTATATCCAAAGTCATACTTTTTAAATATCTGTTGTTTTTTCAGCGGTTTCAGGACTACATACAAAGTGACGAATCTCTTCCCAGGAAGAATATACAGATTCCGTTCGAAGTTGGGCGATTCCGACTTCCTCGAATTCGAATCGGCGACGGAAATCGAGATCGCTTACAGCAAACACCTGAGCAGAGCTATAAAATTCAATAAATTACCCTTGATAAGGAAAATCATCGCTAAAAAGTAATTGATTTTTGTTTAATTAATAATTGAAATTTCATTAATATTTAAATTTTGGTTACCATGGCAAAAAAAACTTTGGTAGTCATGGATACTTAAAAAATAAAAAAGATGCATTACTATGTCAATTTACTTGACAAGTAACGAGTAGTCGTTATAAAAATAATAATTTTAATACAAATTGTTGAAATTTAAGGCCTCAACTTTTATATGTTAAAAACGAGGAGAATCCGTTGAGACAATCCATCGAATTCGGGAATTTAGCTGCAGCGAATGTCCTGTTAACTCTGGGTGCCGATATCGACGATCGTCATCTGTTTGACGGCACGACAGCCTTGATGTTGGCTCTGGATAAAGGGGATTTGAATTGCGCCAAGTTTCTCCTATCGAAAGGCGCTTCGACTGCATCGAAAGATTGTGTCGGTAGGAACGGATTGCACAGAGCTGTAGACACCGGCCGTTCAGAGACAGTGGAATTCGCTTTGCTGCATAGTTTCGATGTTAATTGCGTCGACGTTAACGGGTGGACTCCGCTCGTACGTGCAGGTAATAACAAACAAAAACAAAAAAAGGAGAAGGAATTGAATACCCGCCTCCTTAGCTTTGATTCATGCATTTGAACGGTCAACAGAGGTGCGTTGACCATACGTTGAATCCTACTCGATTCCAAGAAATATAGCTTCAATTTCTATATTTAGTATTTAATATATCTCTTATAGTTTCCGAGAAATATCTAAAAATGTAAAGACACTACATTTTTTTCGTTCATTCAATATTCGTTGATTAAACTTTTGACAAGCTTATAACTCTGAACGCAAGAAAGTTATCAAAATAATTATAATCACTTTGTATTCCGTGTAGTATTAGCTTTAATTTCCATATACAATAGTTAATATATCTCTTATAGTTTTCGAGAAATATCTAAAAATGTAAAGACACTACATTTTTTTCGTTCATTCAATATTCGTTGATTAAATTTTTGACAAGCTTATAACTCTGAACACAGGAAAGTTATCAACATGATTATAATCACTTTGTATTCCATGTACTATTAGCTTCAATTTCCATATTCAATATTTAATACAACTTTCTTAATTTTCAAGAAATAAACAAAAATTTGAAACATTACTGAAATTCCATTGATTCAACTTTGATCACTCAAAGCTCCAAACGCATAAAACCCATCAAAATGATTATAATCACATTTCATTCTTTATAATTTTATCTTCAATTTGCATATATAATATTTAATATAACTCTTGTTATTTTCAAGAAATACATAAAAATATAAAGACATTACATTTTTTTAATTAATTAAATTTTGATAGCTTATAGCTACAAACACATAAAAGACATCAATTTGAATATAAACTCATTTTGTTAATTACACTTTTCGCTTTAATTTCCATTTACAACATTTTTTATATCTTTCTTAATTTTCAAGAAATGCATAAAAATCTAAAGACATTACATTTTTTTAATTAATTAAATTTTGATAGCTTATAGCTACAAACACATAAAAGACATCAATTTGAATATAAACTCATTTTGTTAATTACACTTTTCGCTTTAATTTCCATATACAACATTTTTTATATCTTTCTTAGTTTTCAAGAAATGCATAAAAATCTAAATACATTACATTTTTTTAATTAATTAAATTTTGATAGCTTATAGCACCAAACACATATAAGACATCAATATGAATATAATCTCATTTTGTTAATTACACTTTTCGCTTTAATTTCCATATACAACATTTTTTTATATCTTTCTTAGTTTTCAAGAAATGCATAAAAATCTAAAGACATTAGATTTTTTAATTAATTAAATTTTGATAGCTTATAGCACCAAACACATAAAAGACATCAATATGAATATAATCTCATTTTGTTAATTACAGTATTAGCTTTAATTTCCATATACAACATTTTTTTATATCTTTCTTAGTTTTCAAGAAATCAACAAAAATCCAAAATATTGTTTATTTCGAATACTGATCTTTTGATCACTCGTAGTTCCAAACTTATTGAAGATAAGTAAATGAAACTAACAGCGTATTATTCTTTATAGTTTTAGCTTCAATTTCTATATTGACAAAAGAATGTAGTTGTTTTAGAATGCTCGGATGACGTGATCCAAAGTTTAATATCTTCCGGCGCGGACGTCGCGATTCCCGATCGCAACGGTTTCGACTATCGGAAGCACCTCGAAATCTCCGAAAGAAAGAGAGAGTGTTGACTCACGAGTCCCGCTTTTCCTTTTCACTGACTAACTAACTGTGACTGACTGAGACGGTGGCAGCAGCGAGAGGAGTAAACGTAAAGTCCGGTTATTGTCTTCGGATTTCGAAGACCTTCGCCGCTTTGGCCGACATCGGCGAGTAGAAAGTCAGCGAACGAACGGCGAAACGGACTAGTTTCAAGAACGCGAACGCTCGCAATGTCCATTTTCCAAGTAGTTTAATCCCTCTGAAGTTGCTTTCCATCGAGTTCTTCGTGTGAATGTCTAAAAATGGACAGCTGTTGGTTTGTGTTCGTGCTCTTCGTGGCAGTTTTCGTGGCGCAAGGTGAGTAACAATATGTTTGTCGGGTTCGTCGCTCGATCGGAATCTCTTCAACACTTCAATTATTCCGCCTCCTGCGATCGAAACGAACTTAACCTCTTTGCAAAGTGTGTTGCCAGGACGACGACGATGGACCGTACCGTGGAAAGTACTTGGGGAAACTGAACTCGTACCATCACCAAGTCTCCGGAGACGTTTACGCCGTCAACGACACGACTTTTCTACTGATCGGCTTCAATTACGATGGGAACGGTGCGGACACCTTCTTCTGGTCTGGGGCGGCGAACAGACCCGGACCTCAGGGTTTCATCGTCTCCGATGAATTCGGAAAAACGAACGTGCTGAATCGTTACTTCAACAAGGACTTTACGCTCACTCTGCCCGAGAAGAAGAAGATCACCGACATCAAATGGTTCGCGATCTACGATCTCTGGAGTCAGAACACTTTCGGCGATATCTACATACCGGAAGAATTCGAACCTCCGGTTCTTCAAACTATCTCACAATTAACATCGAAGACGCACAGAGTCAGTTCGGGTAGTATAGAGATCGTCGATTCGAAGACGCTCAGGATTCCCGAGTTCAGATTCGATGGAAAATCGAAGACGGCGCATTTCTGGGTCGGAGTTGGACCGCAGCCAGGATCGAAGGGTTCGAGAGTTCCGGACGAGTACGGATAGTGAGTACACTTTTTATTTTTTATATAAATTAGGTCAAGATTAGTTTCACTTATTATAAAAATCGAATCCAATTAACATCTATTTACTAACTACAATTTATGAAACTACTGAATCTAGTGACCAACAAAAGAAATAACAAAAGAGATGCGATGATTCAACCATTAATAATTTTCAAGTTTAAATTGTCAAAACAAATTCCAGCCTACTATTTTTTTATTTGATTTCATAAGTTGTCAAATTCGAATTTTTGGAATTAGGCAACTTTTATTGCATTTCTTTGTATTCAAAAACAAAAAAAAACTTTCTGATTAGTAACTTGATTATCAGAAAAACTGATGCGAAATCAAATTCCAGCCTACTATTTTTTTATTTGATTTAATGAGTTGTCAAATTCGAATTTTTTTTTGGAATTAGGCAACTTTTACTGCATTTCTTTGTATTCAAAAACAAAAAAAAACTTTCTGATTAGTAACCAGAAACAAAAGAAATGGCAATGATTCAACACCATTAGTTTTCAAATCGATTATCAGAAAAACCGATGCGAAACCAAATTCTTACTAATTACTGTTCTAATGTCATCAAGGTTATTTACATTTGCACTTTAAATTCATTTGTTTTTTTTTGTACTTTAATTGAAAATTCAATACAAAGTCAACTGTTAAACAGTACACTTTTTATTTTTATATAAATTAGGTCAAGATTAGTTTCACTTATTATAAAATCCAAATCCAATTAACATCTATTTAATAACTACAATTTATGAAACTACTGAATCTAGTGACCAACAAAAGAAAAAAACAAAAGAGATGCGATGATTCAACCATTACTAATTTTCAAGTTTAAATTGTCAAAACAAATTCCAGCCTACTATTTTTTTATTTGATTTAACGAGTTGTCAAATTCGAATATTTTTTGGAATTAGGCAACTTTTATTGCATTTCTTTGTATTCAAAAACAAAAAAAACTTTCTGATTAGTAACCAGAAACAAAAGGAATGGCAATGATTCAACACCATTAGTTTTCAAATCGATTATCAGAAAAACCGATGTGAAATCAAATTCTTACTAATTACTGTTCTAATGTCATCAAGGTCATTTACATTTGCACTTTAAATTCATTTGTTTTTTTTGTACTTTAATTGAAAATTCAATACAAAGTCAACTGTTAAACAGTACACTTTTTATTTTTTATATAAATTAGGTCAAGATTAGTTTCACTTATTATAAAAATCGAATCCAATTAACATCTATTTACTAACTACAATTTATGAAACTACTGAATCTAGTGACCAACAAAAGAAATAACAAAAGAGATGCGATGATTCAACCATTAATAATTTTCAAGTTTAAATTGTCAAAACAAATTCCAGCCTACTATTTTTTTATTTGATTTAACGAGTTGTCGAATTCTTTTTTTTTATTGGAATTAGGCAACTTTTATTGCATTCCTTTGTATTCGAAAAAAAAAAAAACTTTCTGATTAGTAACCAGAAACAAAAGAAATGGCAATGATTCAACACCATTAGTTTTCAAATCGATTATCAGAAAAAACCGATGCGAAATCAAATTCCAGCCTACTATTTTTTTATTTGATTTAACGAGTTGTCAAATTCGATTTTTTTTTGGAATTAGGCAACTTTTATTGCATTTCTTTGTATTCAAAAACAAAAAAAACTTTGTGATTAGTAACCAGAAACAAAAGAAATGGCAACGATTCAACACCATTAGTTTTCAAATCGATTATCAGAAAAACCGATTCGAAATCAAATTCCAGCCTACTATTTTTTTATTTGATTTAACGAGTTGTCAAATTCGATTTTTTTTTGGAATTAGGCAACTTTTATTGCATTTCTTTGTATTCGAAAAAAGTAACTTTATTATTATTCCAGAAACAAAAGAAATGGCAATGATTCAACACCATTAGTTTTCAAATCGATTATCAGAAAAACCGATGCGAAATCAAATTCCAGCTTACTATTTTTTTATTTGATTTAATGAGTTGTCAAATTCGATTTTTTTTTTTGGAATTAGGCAACTTTTATTACATTTCTTTGTATTCAAAACAAAAAACTTTCTGATTAGTAACCAGAAACAAAAGAAATGGCACTGATTCAACACCAATAGTTTTCAAATCGATTATCAGAAAAACCGATGCGAAATCAAATTCCAGCTTACTATTTTTTATTTGATTTAATGAGTTGTCAAATTCGATTTTTTTTTTTGGAATTAGGCAACTTTTATTGCATTTCTTTGTATTCGAAAAAAAAAACTTTCTGATTAGTAACCAGAAACAAAAGAAAAGGCAATAATTCAACACCATTAGTTTTCAAATCGATTATCAGAAAAACCGATGCGAAATCAAATTCCAGTATACTATTTTTTATTTGATTTAACGAGTTGTCAAATTCGAATTTTTTATTGGAATTAGGCAACTTTTATTGCATTTCTTTGTATTCGAAAAAAAAACCTTTCTGATTAGTAACCAGAAACAAAAGAAATGGCAACGATTCAACATCATTAGTTTTCAAGTCGATTATCAGAAAAACCGATGCGAAATCAAATTCCAGACTACTATTTTTTTATTTGATTTAATGAGTTGTCAAATTCGAATTTTTTTTTTGGAATTAGGCAACTTTTATTGCATTTCTTTGTATTCAAAAAAAACAAAACTTTCTGATTAGTAACCAGAAACAAAAGAAATAGCAACGATTCAACACCATTAGTTTTCAAATCGATTATCAGAAAAACCGATGCGAAACCAAATTCTTACTAATTACTGTTCTAATGTCATCAAGGTTATTTACATTTGCACTTTAAATTCATTTGTTTTTTTTTGTACTTTAATTGAAAATTCAATACAAAGTCAACTGTTAAACAGTACACTTTTTATTTTTTATATAAATTAGGTCAAGATTAGTTTCACTTATTATAAAAATCGAATCCAATTAACATCTATTTACTAACTACAATTTATGAAACTACTTAATCTAGTGACCAACAAAAGAAATAACAAAAGAGATGCGATGATTCAACCATTACTAATTTTCAAGTTTAAATTGTCAAAACAAATTCCAGCCTACTATTTTTTTTATTTGATTTAACGAGTTGTCAAATTCGATTTTTTTTGGAATTAGGCAACTTTTATTGCATTTCTTTGTATTCAAAAACAAAAAAAACTTTCTGATTAGTAACCAGAAACAAAAGGAATGGCAATGATTCAACATCATTAGTTTTCAAGTCGATTATCAGAAAAACCGATGCGAAATCAAATTCCAGCCTACTATTTTTTTATTTGATTTAATGAGTTGTCGAATTTGATTTTTTTTTGGAATTAGGCAACTTTTATTGCATTTCTTTGTATTCAAAACAAAAAAAACTTTCTTATTAGTCCAGAAACAAAAGAAATGGCAATGATTCAACACCATTAGTTTACAAATCGATTATCAGAAATCAAATTGTTACTAATTACTGTTCTAATGTCATCAAGGTAATTTATATTTGCACTTTAAATTCATTTGTTTACAAAGTCAACTGTTAAACAGATGAAACAATTGAATATTTGTTAGAAGCAATGAACATTTGATCTATAAATTTAATACTTGTTTTTGAAACAATTGAATAGAAGTTATCCTTCAAAGACTAGACTACATTACAAAAAAAAGATGAAAAAAAATATAACAGTTGCTTTTAAAACAATTGAATAGTTGTTATCCTTCTGCGGACTTTAATACCGTTAATAGTTTTATACACTCTGTTGGAACTTTCTAATTTTTTGCGTTCAAAATTGGAAATTAGAAATTTCCGAAATCTTCAAGTATGAATATTCTGTAATTATATTAATTTTTTAATGAATTGTTTGATATGAAGAATTGTAATTTGCAGCTTGGATCCGTTGAGAGAGTACAAAGGTGAGACCATAACACTCGTGTTACCAGGAGATGTAACGATCTTCAACATCGATTGGTTCAGCGTTTACGATGTGGAGACGAATTTGAATTTGGGTTCTCTGATCATCCCCGACGGATTGAACGTGCCGCCATCTCTCGTCAGAGTTATCGTAAGCGATTGGAGAAAAAAACAGAAACAGAAACAAATGGAACTCACTAATTCCGGTTTCCGGTTATTCTTTTAGCCGCACAAAAACGATTTGCCCAATTGCCTTCAACTGCACAAAGACTTTCAAGTGTCGTGGGAAGTGTTCGGTCCAGCCGTCACCATTCAATTGGCCGGACAAGTCAAGGAATCCGAGTACATGGCTTTCGGTATTTCCGGGGATTCCGGAAAATCGCAGATGCTCGGATCGGACGTGGCCGTGGCTTACATCGACGGTTACCTAGGATACGCGGATGATTACAACGTGACAGCTCTGTCACCGGTAATGATAATAATAATAATAATAAGAAACAAATGCAATTGATGATGACATCTATTAAATTTCATTTGCAGTGCATCAAAGTGTTGGGACAGCACAAGGGCGTCTGCAAGGATGAGGTCGTCGGCGGACAGAACAACAATCAGCTTCACACGGCGATCAGGGAGAACGGCATCAACATAATCACCTACAGAAGATCGTTGATTTCGTGTGAGTTAGGCAACTTTAATTGATCATATGCAACTTTTGTAGCAAAATTAGGCAACTCGATTAACAGCAAATATTGTTTTCAGCCGATAACGGCGATAAGACTGTCGACACGGAGGAGGATACTTACGTGATTTGGGCCTTGGGTAGATTGGATCACAACAAGGAGCCCGCCTTCCACGACGTCTACCCGAAAGCGGACGTAAAATTGAATTTCGGCAACAAAGATCCGACGAACAATTGCTTCTCTTTCACGTCTTCGGAACCGGAACCGTCGGAGCCATGGGAGAAGGGTCAGATCTACGATCGAACGATACGTACCTTCAACGCTTACATCGGACCATCCGCAGGAAAGAAAGGCTATCAAGCGATCACAGGTTGCTTTCCAACAAATTCCATTCTAACTCGATCATTTTATGTTTCTTGTTTTTGTTTCCAGGGCAACCGGCAACTACCATGGCTTGGTACATCAACGGTTACCTAGCGCCGGAGATTTGGTTGAGGCGCGGCCTGACGTACGCTTTCAAAGTGCGCGGTGGAAACAATCCGCACAGCGCAGAGTTCTACCATCCTCTGGTGATAACGGATGAAAAGCACGGCGGTTACGATAAGCTAACAGATGAGGGTCAATCGAAGGTCAGAGTATTAGCGGGAGTTGAGTATTCGAGGAGAGGAAGACCGAAACCCATCGCGGCTGGTCCACTTTGCCTTTCAAAGCATCGCGAAGGCAAGGACAGGAGGTTGGACGACGATTTCGTCTCCTTCAAGAAGTTCAACAGATCTCTGGTGTACTCGTGCGAGGAGGGCGCTGCGGGCGTTCTCGAGATCACTCCAAACACGACGTGGCCGGATATAGTTTACTATCATTCCTTCACGCAGGCCAACATGGGCTGGAAGATCCACATCATCGACTCCTTCGCACGATCCTTCACCTCCTCCGCGGCCATACCCAATCTCAACTCGATACTCTTCCTCCTGATGCCATCGATATCTTCTATTTATTATCTGTTTATTTTTTAAGTAGATCTTAATAACTGTTTCGCACCACGAAATAATCTAGTTTTAAATAAATCGATAACTATAATACCAACAGTGTCTCCTAATCCCTTGCATGAAAAACCACTTCTCTTAGTTAATCCGGTAACCTAACATTAAGCTCAATAACTGAATGCTCCATCTATCGGCCGATCACGTGAATCATATTTGATAACTAGTCATTTGTAACGCTCATTTCTTTTAGTTAATTAAGTTGCCTAACGTTAACGTTTCAATTCTTTGAATTTCTCGACAACCCCTGAAGATAATTACATCACCGACCACTCGTATAAAAGCTGAATATTTCACCTTTCCAACAAGCCTACATACATCTTTCTAGTATCATCGAGTCGCCTGCTATGAGCTGTAGAACATTTTTTTCTCGTTTTTATTTAGTTTTAACAGTTTTACGTTAATTTCTCGACAACCCCTAAAGATAATTACATAACCGACCACTTGTTGGAAAGCTGAATATCTCACCTTTCCAACAAGCCTAAATACATCTTTGTAGTGTAATCGAGTCGCCTACTATCAGCTGTAGAACATGTTTTTCTCGTTTTTATTCAGTTCTAACAGTTTTTCGTGAATTTCTCGACAACCCCTAAAGATAATTACATCATCGACCACTCGTATAAAAGCTGGATATTTTGCCTTTCCAACAAGCCTACACACATCTTAGTGCTGTCATCGAGTCGCCTGATATAAGCTGTAGAAATTGAAGAAAAAAAACATTTGCTTAACGTTTTATAGGTAACAGAGAAACGACAGTTTTTTTCGTTTTTTTTCAATGTTTTGGGTTTTTCGTAAATTTCTCGACAACCCCTAAAGATGAGTACATCAACTACCACTCGTTGGAAAGCTGAAGATCTCACCTTTCCAAAAAGCCTACATACATCTTTGTAGTGTCATCGAGTCGCCTACTATCAGCTGTAGAACATTTTTTTTCGTTTTTTATTCAGTTCTAACAGTTTTTCGTGAATTTCTCGACAACCCCTAAAGATAATTACATCATCGACCACTCGTCTGAAAGCTGAATATCTCGCCATTCCAACAAGCCTAAATTCATCTTTGTAGTGTCATCGAGTCGCCTGCTAAGAGCTGGAGAAATTGGTAAAAAAGGATTTTCTTTAATAACATGATTTCGATAACTATAATACTAACAGTGTTTCCTAATCCTTTCATCGAAAGACCATCTCTCTTAGTTAATAAGGTAGCCTAACATCAAGTTCAATAACTATATGCTCCATCTATCGGCCAATCACGTGAATCATATTTATATCCTGTTGATAACTACTCATTTGCATCGCTCATTTCTTTTAGTTAATTAAGTTGCCTAACACCAAAATCAATACTTTTCCAATAATTGATAAAATTTCCAATTAACGTTTCAATTCTTAAGAAAACAAAAGCACATAAGTATTATAAATGCTAAGAAATACTTTAGCACGACGTATAAGTAAAAATTAAACAAACGAATAATTAAATATAAATTATAAAAGTCATGCAAAACGATTTGCATTTGTTTATCAACGAATTGATATACTCAAGCCATTCTAGTGGACATAAAAATGCATGTTTCGTTTGTTTCATTTAAACAAATGCACACGGAAATCCGAAGGTGCACTCGATAAAAATTTCAAGTATAAAAATAAATAATGAATCAAAGGTCAAAAGCGATTATCGAATCCTCGATATTTGTATGAGTGAGAGAGAAAATAAAACAAAAAACATAAGTTATCAGATCGAGGCGCAACTTAAAAATCGAATGCGGAAACAGAAACAATCTGTAAACATGTTGTCAGCGGTTGTAGTAACATTTGCTTCTCTCGGGTGAGTTCAAAATATTTCATGTTTACACAATTTATTACATATCAAATTTCATAATTATTTAGAAAATAATACATTATATCACTATGGAAACATCACCATTTTATTTTTAAACAAATTCGAAACGAAACAATGAAACTTGAATATTCATAACCTGATTGGAAATGAAATTGCAGCAAAATTAATTAGTAACGTTTCTTTTATGACACTTGCGAAAATTTTAAATTTAAATAACAAAAAAATATGAAAAATAACATATCTAATTATAATTCTTATCGAAATATTTTTATCAGTGGAAATTTTGTTTATTTTTCGTGCGTTTTTGTTGTTATGTAATTAATCGCGTGAGTTGGTACTGAAATAAATGCAATTTGATTATTTTCATCTTTTGTTTTAGCAGTTTGCTGAGTCTGGGATGTTTCTGTTCGGAATTCCCGCCGGATTTCAAATTCGGTGTTTCCACGGCTTCCTATCAAGTGGAAGGTGCTTGGAATGAGAGCGGTATTTGTTTTTTTTTAATCAATTGTTTCGTTGTTATGTAGTTTTGTTTTTGATTGGTTACAGGAAAAGGTGAAAACATTTGGGATCATCTGAGTCATTTCAGAAACGACTTGATTTTTGATAGAAGCACCGGAGATGTGGCCTGTGATTCCTACCACAAGACCAAAGAGGACGTTGCTCTTCTGAAGAGTTTAGGTGTTGATTACTACCGGTTTTCCTTGTCCTGGTCGAGAATCCTTCCGTCCGGTTTCGCAAATAACATCAACGACGATGGTATTCGCTACTACAACGAATTGATCGATGAGCTTTTAGCCAATGGAATAGAACCGTTTGTGACTTTGTATCATTGGGATTTGCCGCAACCGTTGCAGGAGATCGGTGGGTGGCCTAATCCGCTCTTAGCCGACATCTTTGCAGAGTATGCAACCATCGCGTTCAAGAGCTTCGGCGCCAAAGTTAAGCATTGGCAGACTTTCAACGAACCTTTACAGGTGTGTCACGAGGGTTACGGCATTGCCAACAAAGCGCCTGCGTACACTTCCGATGGTGTCGCCCCCTACATGTGCAGCACGACACTCCTGAGGGCGCACGGAAAAACCTACAGGATCTACCAGGATAAGTACAAATCCACGCAGAACGGATTAGTCGGAATCACCTTGGATTCCAGCTGGTTCGAGGCGCAAACGCAGAAGGATTCGGATTCAGCAAAGCGAGTCTTGAGAATGGGCGTAAGTGAGATTTTTTAAACAATTATTAATATCCACTTTAGTCAATTCACACAAAAAAATTGTTAAATTTGGATTAGCTTTCGTTTTACAGACCTTGAAAAATGTGTTATATCTTTAGCGCCATCTAAGAACAATTATTAAACTACATCTGCATCACTGGTTGCAGGCGTGAAATAACCTAAGTATAAAAAAAAATAACTATTGACAGTTGACATTTTACGTGTTGACAGTTACAATGTTATGTTTAATTATAAATACCATCAATAGATGGCATCTTTACAACCGTACTGAGGCTAATTACAAACAACACAATTATTGATTACAGCTTGGATGGTTTGCGAATCCGATCTTCTCCGAGAGCGGAGATTACCCTCAGGTGATGAAAGAGGTGATCTCGAAGGCGAGCGCCGAAGAGGGTTTCAGCAAATCACGTCTTCCGTCGTTCACCGCTGAAGAAATCGAAATGATTCGCGGTTCAGCGGATTTCTTGGGTCTGAATCACTACACCACGCGATTGGTAACAGATGGCGCTGCCAAAGGCATCTCAAGGCCATCTTATTATTTCGACATAGGGGCGGAGGCGAGAGTAGACGAAGCTTGGGAAAGCAGCGCCGCCTCCTGGTTGAAAGTTGTCCCGTGGGGTTTGAGGAAACTGCTGAACTTCATCAAAGAGGAGTACGGAAATCCGGATGTTGTTATTGCCGAGAACGGATACGCAGGTGAATACGAGGAGTTCACGCAGGATTGCAGAAGAATTCATTATCATAACGTGAGTTCAACAATTAATTATTCAAAAACCGAAAGTCGCTGAAACATCATTTAAAGCTCATTTAATTCCCTAGAATTTCAACTTTAATTTGCAAATTTCATCTTTAAGCTACCATAAGTAGTTTTTAAGATATAACCTAATAACTAAAGTCACTACATTTCTCAATTTCATACCATTTTTTTTTTATTAAAGTTCAAAATCAAATTACAAGAAAACTATATAATCTACAAACAACCAAATACACTCATTTTGAACCTTAAAGTTTCATGTTTAATCCAATCATTCACTCATTAAGATATCTTACATAATTTTCAAAATACAACGATTTCTATGACTCAACAACATTTTTGGTTTCAGAAATATTTGGAGCAAGTATTATTGGCCATAACTGAAGACAAATGCAACGTGAAAGCTTACACGGCGTGGAGTTTCCTTGACAACTTCGAATGGCTTCGTGGATACTCGTAATTAACAACAATAATATGAAACAAAGATAATTAATTAATTTTTTTTTTGAAAATTTTCAGCGAACGTTTTGGTTTAATTCACATAGATTTCGAGAATCCGAATCGCACCAGAACACCCAAACACTCCTCGAAAGTCTTCACGAACATCATCAAAACCCGGAAGATCGATTGGGACTTTGCGGCATCCGGTTTCGACAAATGCGAGTTCTAAGAAAATTTCAATAAATTTCGTTTAATCCAATCGTCGAACTTTTCTTGCAAATCCTCATCGATTTCATCCATTTTACTCTTCTCTTCACCTCCAGATCTCATGAAAACGCCATCTACTTTCACCAAATTGAAGCGTCGATGAAATTCCAGGACCGGCTCGAAGTTTACAGCCGGATTTCGTTTCATCTCCTCGAAACTGAGATGCTTCAACAGCTTAGATTTTTCGATTTCGCTCAAAGTTTTCCCAACGAATTTCGCCACAGTTTCCATCACTTCTCCCAAATCCATCTTCATGTCTTCGTACTTGATGAAAAGCAGATTTTTTTGATCCTTCACGTTCCAAAAGCTTAAGAAATTATCGAAAAACGGACCAAAACTTACTGAAATTGAAATGTTTTAAAACGTTTTCCAATATCATTTTGTATGTTCACCTTTTCCAGCGATGAAAAGCTGAGCGAAATCGCGAAAATCCCCGGAAAAGCCTTCGAAAAGTCGAGCGTGATGGAAGTAGGAGACGCACGTATCTTTTGGATTTCGACTCACATAAATTATCTAAAAAAAAATCGAAATCGAAACTTGGAATTTAAATTCAAAAGAATTAACATTTTAACTTTAATTTGAAATTGAATTTTATGAATTACTTCAATTAGTTTTCAAATTATCAACGAAAAATTGAAGCACTGCAATTTTTTTTTTGATTGAATTTTAACAGTAAATTCCTCAATAACCAGAAGTCTCCTAAATTTACCAATTAACTCATTTCATTCTCTAAAGTTTAAACTTTCATTTGCTTGCATTCACTAACCTTAGGTTTAACTTGAAACTCTCGAATCGCTCTTGGAAGTAAATCCCATGGAAGATGCGTTTTGATCATCCTTGGCCTTGGACAGTTCTTAGTGAATTCAAGCGAATTCTCAATGAAAACTGGAGGTTTAAATTCGTCGTTTTCTGAAATCAAATCTCTGAAATCGAAAACTGCTGAAACCCTAACAACAATAAAAAAAATGAATTTTAAATTGAAGTAAATTTTGTATAAAATTTACTCTAAAAATGGAAATCTTGCGCCCAGATTTTCTTCGGCTTTGACGTAATCGAAATCGTTGCAGATCAACCAAACCATCTCCTGCGTCCACGTGGTGCCTATCCAAAAAAAATTATTGGATAAGTAAAAATGATAGAAGATAAATTGTGGAATTACCGGTTTTGGGAAAGCTGCAAACCCAAACGTCGTCATCGAACACCTCGAAATCGTCGATTTCTGTGCGCAAATCCTCGAATCTCGCCGGAAGCGTGAATTTCCCGTACTTCCGGTAACCTTTGCGGAAAACTGAAGTGAATTTCCTCTCGAGAATTTCGTCCAGATTTGGACCCATCGCGAAGCGAAAACAATGATTGAAAACAATCGAATTCGTTTGCAGCTTTTATAGTAGGCGTAGGAAGAAAGGAAATGCCTTGAAATGTAACCAGAAACAAGAGCAAAAACAAAAGAGAAACACAAAAAAAAAAAACGCATATCGATTTGTCAATGCGATGATCAAGCATGCGGAAAGTTGTGTATGTTTGTTTTTTTTGTTTTTGCGTTAAATTAAGCAAATGTTTGCTACAATTCTAATCTTTTCTTCTCGATGGAAACTTTTGCGTTTCGTATATAAAGTAGTTTCAGGAATTTTCGTTTTAATCAAGAGATCTTCTCAGACGACAGACCGAAGAGATAGAGGAAGTGATCAAAGAGGTGTACGTTTCACCGTTCAAATCGTCTTATCGGAGTTTCGAAGGTTACGTTTTCTCGTCGAATTTCGCAAGGTTCTGGCAGAGGATCGACGAGTTTGAGGTCTACGACGATGATGTCTGGGTCTCCAGTTACCCCAAATGCGGTAAGTCTAATCCAGTGTGTTTTGCATTTGGTTACCATGGTTATTCGCATCTTCTTCATTTCTTTTAAAAACAAAATGGTTTTCAATGTAAATGTCATTTTGTTTTTTTTTTTTAGAAACAAATGACATTTTTTATTTACATTCATAAACATTTCTAATCCATTTTTTTTTTATAAATGTGCGATAGTTTTTTTTATTTAATGAACGTCAAAGAGGTTGAGGAACTCATCTGGAAGGTTTACGTTCCGCCCTTCAACTTTTCTTACAATAGTTACCATGGTTACGTGTTGTTTACTAATTTTGTTAAGGTTGGAGAAGCGATCGAAGAGCTCGAAAATTAACAAAATATTGGAATTAAAGAAAAACAAACGAACAGTTTACAGCGAACAATTGAATTTGTTTCAGGAACTACGTGGATGCAGGAAATGGTTTGGTGCATCTGCAACGATTTGGATTTCGAAGGAGCTGAACAAGAATTGGACGAGAGATTTCCATTTTTGGAGTAAATTTAGAAGGAATCAAAGATTAATTCAATATTTTATTAAATTTCAGTTACATTTTCTTGTTCCCAGATGACGCTAGTATAGAGATACCGAGTTTCTTGAGATCTTTCGATTTACTTAAAAAAATGCCAAGACCTAGGTTCATCAAAACGCATCTACCGTGGGATTTACTACCGAAGCAAATCAGAACTTACCAAAAAAGACCTAAGGTATGCAATAATTTACTGTGACAACCCTCTGGTTGCTTGCAATTAACAATTGTAGGCATTTTTATTTGCATTCACGTTATGTTGGTTGCGTTTTGATTACAATGTTTTATTGTATAAAAACTGCTATAACTTAAAATTTACCATCAATAATTACAAAAAAAATGTTATCATTATATTAGAATATTGTCCAATGAGTATATTACTCAACTTTGTGTGCTTATTAATTGCAGATGATTCACGTAGCGAGAAACCCGAAGGACGCATGCGTCACATGAAGATGTTTGAGGGTTTCCAAGGCAACTTCGAGCAGCAATGGCAATTGTTCATCCACGACAAACGTGATTATTTTAAACGTGATTTGCAATCAAATAAATCTTGTTTTTTCAGTGGTTTGGTCACCGTTTTTCAAGAACGTCTTAAGCTACTTCCACAAACGCGACGAACCGAACATTCTGTTCATCAAGTACGAAGATTTGAAGAGGGATTTGGAGAAATCTTTGGTGGAAATTGCCGAGTTCTTAGGTGTTAATTTGAGAGATGATCAAGTGGAGAAGTTGAAGAAACTGCTGTTAATCATTCGAAGTTGACGGCTTTCGTGAAGAGCGTCAACGCGAAGAGTCGCGGCGATGAGTTCATCAGGAAGGGAAAAGCTGGTGGTTACAAGGAGGAAATGGACGAAGAAGTTGTTAAGATTTTCGATGATTGGATCGAAGTGAATCTTTCCAACACGGGATTGAACTTTGAAAATTTAGACTAAATTTTAATATCTTAGTGTTGTAATTTTTTTTAAATTACTTAAATTTTGTTAAAAATAAAATGTAAATTTATTCGCTTGTTTTTTTGTTTTAACATATAGATAAAATGCACGAGTGTGCAAACAAATGATGTCTGGCAATTGTTTGCTCGTCACGAAATCTTATCAATTTAAAAATAAAAAAAGTTGTTTTGTTCATTAAAATTCAGTTGTTTTATTCATTTGGTTTTGTGATCACCATGACGATGAAATTGATGAACGCCGAGGAAATGGAAGAGGTTATCCGGAAACTGTACGCGCCGGTGCGCAACTTCACTTACCAGAGTTTCCATGGTTACGTGTTGTATTCGAATTTCGCCAGGTATCAGAAGGAGATCGAAGATCTCCAGGTGTACGACGATGACGTCTGGGTGACCAGCTACCCGAAAAGCGGTGAGTCGTCTCTTGTTTTTCTCTGCGTTACCATGGAGAAGCAAAATTTAACAAGCGATTCTTTTGTTCCAGGAACCACTTGGACTCAGGAAATGGTGTGGTGCATCTGCAACGATTTGGATTTCGAAGGAGCCAAACAAAATATACACGAGAGATTTCCATTTATAGAGTAACAAAATGAAAAAAATTAATACAAATTTCAGTTTTAATTCAAATTTCGTTTCAGTTTCGTGCAAATCGATGATGGCGTTGCAGACTTACCGAAATTCTTGAAACCTTTGGAAATGCTGAAAGAAATGCCAAGACCGAGATTCATCAAAACGCATTTACCGTGGGATTTATTGCCAAAACAGATTAGAACTTTCGAAAAGAGACCTAAGGTATACAAAAATTTACTGTAAAAACCCTTTGATCGCTTGCAATTAACAATTGGCGAAGAAGTGTTTTAAGAAATTAGGCATTTTTAATTGCACTAGTGTTAAGTTGGTTGCGTTTTGTTGTCTAAAACCTCCAATAAATCAAAGTTTACAGTTGATAATTAGAACAAAAACAACGTAGATTAATGTGTTCTTCAATAGAATAAATAATTGCAGATAATTCACGTTGCGAGAAATCCCAAAGACGTCTGCGTCTCCTACTATCATCACATGAAGATGTTCAACGTTTTCCTAGGCAACTTCGAACAACAATGGCAATTGTTCATCAACGACAAACGTGATTATTCTTATAGAAACATGAAAATCTCAATAATCTTATTGTTAATTTCAGTGGTTTCGTCGCCGTTCTTCAAAAACGTTCTCAGCTACTTCGACCGATGCGACGAATCTAACATTCTGTTCATCAAGTACGAAGATCTGAAGAAGGATTTGGGTAAATCCGTTTTACAAGTTGCTGAGTTCTTAGGTGTTGATTTGAGTGAAGATCAAGTGGAGAAGTTGAAGGAACACTTGAGTTTCGAATCGATGAAGAACAATAAGGCTGTCAATCATACGGAGTTTATAGATTACGTCAGGACTGCAAATCCGAAGTGTTCAGGCGGTGAGTTCATCAGGAAGGGAAAAGCTGGTGGTTACAAGGAGGAAATGGACGAAGAAGTTGTTAAGATTTTCGATGAATGGATCGAAGCGAATCTTTCCAACACGAAACTCCGATTTGACTGTTAAATTTATTAATTATGAAAAAAAAAAAAATGTAAAAAACTTAAGAAAAAAATATAATTTGTTATTTGTTTCAATTTGAAATTAATATCTTATATCGATAACTCGACGAAAACAAGTGCGTATCGACACTTGTTTTCATTGAATTGTTGATATAATTTTTGTTTGTTTTATTTTCAAGGCCTACCAATGTTTTCAACTGTTTTTATTTAATTAATGCAACTGCAAAACGATTGTTGCGACAACAACAAACTTAGTTACAGTTGTCATGGTACAAAAAATAATTTGTTTCTTTGGAACAAGAACAATATTTATGCAAAAAGCTGTTCTGATCTTCATGTCTTATCTAGTTTGTTATGGAAATTATTAATTATCGAACGAAAAACCTTCTTTTCTACTCATTTATCGTTACAGACTTTCGTAAAATCATTTTAGTTGTCTTCCAAAGTTTGAGCAAGAATCGTCATGGAATTCAAGAGCGATTCGGAATTGATTGAACTGCGAGACAGGTACGGTCTGAGCAGTGCTAGGAAAGGATACGGAGAGTTCAAAGGTTACTCGCTTCCGGAGAGTTTTTCCAAGTATCAGAAGGAAATCGAAGATCTAGAAGTCTACGACGATGACGTCTGGGTCACCAGTTTCCCCAAATCCGGTAAATATCTGTTTGTTGCCATGACAATTTGTTAAATAACAATGAAACGTTAAAAAATTAGTTATAAATGTCAACAATGACGCGTTAAAGTCAAAGTTTTTTGGTTGTCATAGCTAAATGTCAAAGAAGATAGGTTAAGATACATTTTGTTGTCAGGGACAACGTGGACAGAAGAACTGGTTTGGTGCGTTGCCAACGATCTGGATTTTGAAGCGGCCAAAGTCGATGTGGATGAGAGGTTTCCGTTCGTCGAGTAAGAAAACTCGATTAGATTAAGTTTGCTTAAAGTTTAGAACTTATTTTCTTCTTTTTCAGATTCTGCATGTACTTCGGAATGGACGATCCCAACGACGCCATCCCGTACGTCAGAAGATCCATCGAATTTGTGAAGAGTAGGCCAAGACCGAGATTCATCAAATCGCATTTGCCGTGGGAATTAATGCCGAAGCAGATCAGAACTTTCGAGAGGAGACCGAAAGTGAGTTAGTTAGGTTCGTTTTTCAAAGCAATTTTGATGCAAAAGTTTCAAAACTTTTAGATAATCCACGTGGCAAGAAATCCGAAAGACGTCTGCGTCTCGTATTACCATCACGTCAGATTCTTGGAGAACTATTCGGGAGATTTCAATCTGTACGTTCAACTGTTTCTCAGAAACAAAGGTACTAAGGAAACAACAATTGCTAAGAAACGTCAACAATGACATTTGATGTCAATGTCAAACAAGTTTGTTTTTTTTACAGCCAACTACGCGCCGTTCTTCAATAACATCTTGAGCTATTGGAGCAGACGTTCAGAGCCGAACATCATTTTCCTGAAGTACGAAGACATGAAGAAGGATCTTCGCAGTATTTTGCTCCAAGTTACAGAGTTCCTAGGTTATGAATTGAGTGAAGATCAAGTGAAAACACTACTTCATCATCTCAGTTTCGAAGTGATGAAACACAATAAAGCGACGGATCATTCAAATCTTGCTGCGTTTTTGAAGAGCAAAGGTCTTCTGTTCAATCCGGACGGTGAATTTATGCGAACCGGAACTTCCGGTTCGTTCAAATCGGAAATGTCGCCGGCGATGATCGAGTATTTCAATCGATGGACGGAAGAGAATCTCGCAGATACTGGTTTAGAGTTGTAAGGTTATAGTAGCATTTGTTTTGAAAACAAATGAGGAATGAAAACGCTATTTTGATTTATACTCATGGCAACGAATGACAGCCTTCTAGTTCTTAGCTTGCATTATCTTAATTAAAAGTTTTTATGAAAAATGTGAATATGTTTATTAATGCTGAAACTTCAGTGAATAAAATTAGCGTATTTACATTTACGTAACTTCAGTGATTTCTACGTGTTTTTAATGACAAACTTTAAATAAATATTATCATATTTATTTCAATATAAATGCTGTTTTTCAAAACTTATCTAGTTTGTTGTGCAATTATAAATTATCGAAAACTTTTTTTTTTCTTATTTATTTGTTTATTTACAAACTTTCGTAAAGTGATTATTATCAGTAGTCTTGAAAAGTTCGAGCAAGTATCATCATGGAATTCAAGAGCGATTCGGAATTGATTGAACTGCGAGACAGGTACGGTCTGAGCAGCGCGAGGAAAGGATACGAAGAGTACAAAGGTTACGCTCTTCCCGATAATTTTTCCGAGTTTCAAAAGGAAATCGAAGATCTAGAAGTCTACGACGATGACGTCTGGGTCACCAGCTTCCCCAAATCCGGTGAATATCTGTTTTGTTACCATGGCAATTCGTTAAATAACAACGACACGTAAACGTCAAAGTTTGTTGGTTAATTTAAGTTTCGTGTTTACATGTAACTGTCATAGTGAAATCTTGTTGACTTTCTGTTGCCAGGGACGACATGGATGCAAGAATTGGTTTGGTGCGTTACCAACGATCTCGATTTCGAGGCGGCCAAAGTCGATCTGGACGAGAGGTTTCCGTTCATCGAGTAAGTGATTGAATTGATCTTTTTTTTTTTCCAATATTGATCCTACGAACTCTTCAGATTCTGCACTTTCGTCGGAATGGATGATCCCAATGACGCCGTCCCGTACATCAGAAGATCCGTCGAATTCTTGAAGAGCAGGCCAAGGCCGAGATTCGTCAAAACGCATTTGCCTTGGGAATTAATGCCGAAGCAGATCAGAACTTTCGAGAAGAGACCGAAAGTCAGCGAATTCGTCTGTTTTTGCTGAGCAATTCTGATGTCATTTTTTTTTATTGTAGATAATCCACGTGGCAAGAAATCCAAAAGACGTCTGCGTCTCCTATTACCATCACGCCAGATTCTTAGAGAACTATTCTGGAGACTTCAATCTGTTCGTTCAACTGTTTCTCAGAAACAAAGGTACTAAGAAAACAACAATTGCTAAGAAACGTCAACAATGACATTTGATGTCAATGTCAAACAAGTTTGTTTTTTTTACAGCCAACTACGCGCCGTTCTTCAATAACATCTTGAGCTATTGGAGCAGACGTTCCGAGCCGAACATCATTTTCCTGAAGTACGAAGACATGAAGAAAGATCTTCGTAGTGTTTTGCTGCTAGTTACAAAGTTCCTAGGTTATGAATTGAGCGAAGATCAAGTGAAAACACTACTTCATCATCTCAGTTTCGAAGTGATGAGGCACAACAAAGCGACGGATCATTCAAATCTTGCTGCGTTTTTGAAGAGTAAAGGTCTTCTGTTCAATCCGGACGGTGAGTTTATGCGAACCGGAACTTCCGGTTCGTTCAAATCGGAAATGTCGCCGGCGATGATCGAGTATTTCAATCGATGGACGGAGGAGAACCTCGCAGGAACCGGTTTAGAGTTGTGAGGTTATAGCAGCATTTGTTTTGAGAACAAATGAGGAATGAAAACGCTATTTTGATTTATTCTCATAGCAACGAATGATAATAATGTGTAGCAACTTTCTAGGTTTTGTTAATTAAACGTTTTTAAGAAAAAATAATTTGTTTAGTAATCTTGAAACTTCAGTGAATGAAATGAGCGTATTTAAATTTACATAACTTCAATGATTTCTACGTTATTAATTGATAAACTTTAAATAAATATCAGAAAAACAAAACACTTTTTAATTTCTATCTTGTTAATCAATAGTTTTGAAAAGAAAATGGAAAGTGAAAGTGACAAAAAATCTTATTATTAAACAATTTTGTTTTCATGTGTTATTTGATGCAAAATATTTCTTTATTATGATGCAATCGTTTGTTTTTTTTTTGTTTCTATCATTTAAAATTAATATCTTTCGATAAGCACTTGTTTTTATCGAAGTATTGATATAACATGTTTTTGTTTTCAAGGTTGTTTTTTATTAAATTAATGCAAAAATTAATGTTTGTTATGACAACAACTTTGTATCAGTTGTCATGGTATTAAAAAAAAACACAATCACTTGTTTTTGGAATAAAAATGCAATTTACGTTTTGCTAAAATGTTTTCATATTTGTTTTAATATAAATAATAAGAAATACTTTTCAAATCTTATCTGGTTTTGAAGTGTATATAGGCATTATCGAATGGGAGAGACCTTCATTTTTTTCATATTTATTTAATTATTTGTTTATAGACTTTGCCAAACGAGTAGAACTTGTTTCAGTTGTCTTCCAAAGTTCGAGCAAGTATCATCATGGAATTCAAGAGCGATTCGGAATTGATTGAACTGCGAGACAGGTACGGTCTGAGCAGTGCGAGGAAAGGATACGGAGAGTTCAAAGGTTACTCGCTTCCGGAGAGTTTTTCCAAGTATCAGAAGGAAATCGAAGATCTAGAAGTCTACGACGATGACGTCTGGGTCACCAGCTTCCCCAAATCAGGTAAATATCAGTTTTGTTACCATGGCAATTCGTTAAATAACAATGGCATTGCAAGTCATTCTTTGACATTAATGACTTGCAAATGTCAAAGTTTGTTGGTTAAATTAAATGTTGTTGTTTTTCTGTTGCTAGGGACGACATGGACGGAAGAGTTGGTTTGGTGCGTTGCCAACGATCTCGATTTCGAAGCGGCCAAAGTCGATCTGGACGAGAGGTTTCCGTTCATCGAGTAAGTGAATACAAATTTGAAACAAAATAAAGTTTAAAACTTTTTTTTTTCTGTTCCCTTTCAGATTCTGTGTATTCTTCGGAATGGACGATCCCAACAACGCCGTCCCGTACGTCAGAAGATCCTTGGAATTTTTGAAGAGTAGGCCTCGACCGAGATTCATCAAAACGCATTTACCTTGGGAATTACTGCCGAAGCAGATCAGAACTTTCGAGAGGAGACCGAAAGTCAGTTAGGTTTGTTTTGTAAAGCAATTTTGATGAAAAAATTTCGAAATTTTTAGATAATCCACGTGGCGAGAAATCCGAAAGACGTCTGCGTCTCGTTCTACCATCACGTCAGATTCTTGGAGAACTATTCGGGAGATTTCAATCTGTACGTTCAACTGTTTCTCAGAAACAAAGGTACTAAGAAAACAACAATTGCTAACAAAACAAAAGCTTAAAAATAACAAACGTCAAAAATGACATTTGATGTCAACAAACAGTCAAACGAATTTGTTTTTTTTTACAGCCAACTACACACCGTTCTTCAATAACATCTTGGGATATTGGAACAGACGTTCTGAACCGAACATCATTTTCTTGAAGTACGAAGACATGAAGAAGGATCTTCGCAGTATTTTGCTGCAAGTTACTAAGTTCCTAGGTTACGAATTGAGAGAAGATCAAGTGAAAACACTGCTTCATCATCTGAGTTTCGAAGTGATGAAACACAACAAAGCGACGGATCATTCAACTGTTGCTGGGTTTTTGAAGAGTAAAGGTCTTCTGTTCAATCCGGACGGTGAGTTTATGCGAACCGGAACTTCCGGTTCGTTCAAATCGGAAATGTCGCCGGCGATGATCGAGTATTTCAATCGGTGGACGAAGGAGAACCTCGCAGGAACCGGTTTAGAATTGTGAGGTTATAACAGCATTTGTTTTGAGAACAAATGAGGAATGAAAACGCTATTGTGATTTATACTCATGGCAACGAATGATAATAATGTGTAACAGCCTTCTAGTTTTTAGCTTGCATTATGTTAATTAAAAGTTTTTAAGAAAAAAATAAGAGTGTTCATTAATCTAGAAACTTCAGTGAATAAAATGAGCGTAATTATGTTTATATAACGTGAATGGTTTCTTCGCAAATGATAAACTATAATTAAATGTCACCTTCTTGTTATTAGCTAGTATCTTCAGAACCAACAGATTTTAAAAGAAAACTAAATACGTATATTAATCTAGATTCTTCAGTAAATAAAATGAGCGTAAAAAAGTGTTTACAGCTGAATTGGTTTCTTCTGGAAATATTTACAAACTTCAGTGATTCATTGTCGATAAATCAACAAAAATATATCAATTTTTATACTAAATTTTGCTTCAAACTTTAGTTTTAAACATTCTCATTACAAAATTAAGTGAACAAATGTGTACTTCACGTTTAGCAACGAACTTTTGTATTCAATTAATCGACAAAAAAAAATAGATTTTAGTGTATAATTTAATAACCAAAGTTCTCAAAGAGAATATTAAAAAAGCATATTAATCTAAAATATTCAATGATTAAAATAAGTATAAATTTATATTAATAACTGTATTGGTATCTTCGTAAATTAACAACTAAATTTAGTGTTTTTTTAATTGTTGACATATCAAAAATAAAATTCGTTTTTTTTTCTAATTAATCATTTGAAATTATTGAATTTTTAATAAGTTTATTAATGTTGAAAATTCAGAGAATGCAATGAGTGTAAAAACATGACTGTAACTTGATTAGTTTCTTCGTAAATTAATAAACAAACTTTAGAAATGGAAAGTGTTTTTTTTATATTGCAGTTGTAAATCAGAGATAATTATAAGCAAATTCGTTGCGTAATTTTTGCGCTCGACGATGATATTAAAAAAAAAAACAAACAAAACAGTTAATCGCATTAAAAATAGAGAATTCGTTTTTTTTTTATTATTATCTCAGTTCTATTTGTACACATGACTGACGAAAATCGCGTTCAGTCGTAAAACCAACGGCATTCGGTTTAGAGGTGAAGCAGTAGGCCTTGCATTAAACGAAACAATCGAAAACAAAGAGATTAAAATAATGGAAATCAAGAGTGCCGAAGAGCTGGACGAGTTGCGCAACCAGCATTGCTTGAGCAGCGCGAGGAAAGGATACGGCGTGTTCAAAGGTTACGCTCTTCCGGAGAACTTCGCCAAGTATCAGAAGGAAATCGAAGATCTGGAAGTGTACGACGATGACGTCTGGGTCACCAGTTTCCCGAAATGCGGTAAAAATTGTTTACTTTTTTTATTGTTTTCATCTCCATGGAGATGCAATTGTTTTAATTCGAAAAACAATTGAAAAAAACAAAAACAAAATGTGTACTTGCATATTATCATGTTTGTTTTCTGTTGCCAGGGACGACATGGACCCAAGAAATGGTCTGGTGCATCGCCAACGATCTCGATTTCGAGGCGGCCAAGGTCGATCTGGACGAGAGGTTTCCATTCGTCGAGTAAGTTTTTGTTTTGTTTCGTTCAATTGTTAATTGAAAACAAAATCAATATACAGCCCAATTTTCATTTGTCTCTATATATATATATATATTCCCTAGCAACCAAATAAATTTGAACAAACAATAGATGAGCGAAACAAATGCGATAGAAGTGAAAACAAATGAAGTTAACATTTCGAAATTAGGTTAAATTGCAATAATCACGGCGTGTTTGTGCTTCTATTTTAAACAAGATGTTAGATTACATTTTAATTTGAAGTCTCGTCTCGTTATCAGTCGTTCTGAATAATTTGCATATCATTCCGTATAATTTTAAACAACTTAAATATGAAACGCAAACAGTCTGTAAATATCTATGTGAAACGTGACAATTCGTAAACATTCGTTGCTATGAATCACTAAAATGTGAAGAAAATGATCTTTCGAGCGTCAATTTTGAACGTGAATTATAGGCGAAACGGCTAGAAAATCACTAAAACTGTGTCTTTTCGCAGATACTGTGTTCTTTTTGGAATCGATTGTCCGAACGATTCGCTACCGAATGTGAGGAAATCCATCGAATATCTGAAGAGCAAGCCGAGGCCGAGGTTCGTGAAGACGCATTTACCATGGGAACTGTTGCCAAAACAAATCAGAAACTTCGAGAGGAGACCAAAAGTACCTTTGCGAATTTGCAATGAACTCTATTTTAATATTTTCGATTTTATTTTTTTTTGGTAGATAATTCACGTTGCAAGAAATCCGAAAGACGTGTGCGTCTCGTATTACCATCACCTGAGATTGTTGGAAAACTATTCGGGTGATCTCGATCTTCACATGCAGCTGTTCGTCAAGAACAAACGTAAACAAATAACCATGGTAACGAACATTAAAGATTGATAAGTGTTTTTGTTTTTAATGGTCGCAGTTGGTTGGACGCCGTTCTTCGACAATATCCTTGGTTACTGGAAGAGACGGTCCGAATCGAACATCATTTTCCTGAAGTACGAAGATATGAAGAAGGATCTGCGCAGCGTTGTCGTCGAAGTGAGCGATTTCCTTGGCGTGAAATTGGATGAGGATCAGATGAAAAGGTTGCTGCATCATCTCAGTTTTGAGCAGATGAAGAACAACTCTTCGACGGATCATTCCGCACTCGTCTCGTTCTTGAAATCGAAAGGTCTTTGCTACAATCCCGGCGGTGTTTTCATGAGGAGCGGAGATACGGGATCATTCAAATCCGAGATGTCGCCGAAGATGATCGAGTTCATTGATCGATGGACCGAAGAGAATCTGGCTGGAACCGGACTCAAATTCTAACATTACATCCAAAGAAAAATTATAGTAATTTGCTCAATTCGATGTCATAATTTAAAATTAAAAATTATTTTTTTGTGAATTAATTTAGAACCGCATTC